GGCCAACGAAGCCACACAAACCAGAAGCCTTGATATATCATCATTGCACTGAAACGCCCCAGGTTATTCAAAATTACCTTAGGCCTGGATCCCACAGGAATGTGGGAAGGAAAAACTTTGCCGCATAACTGTTTCCGGGACCCCACCACCCACGGAAGAGGTCCTGGAAAGTTGTGATTTATTCCGTGGAACTGTTTCCCAGGACCCCACGGCCCCCTTTTTTTGGCCTGGAAGAGGCCAGGAATCCTTTTTCACTTTGTTCGCGGCCTGGAGAAGTCCCGCGGGAGGAAAAACCGCCACGATTTTGTGCCGAGTGGAGAGTGTCGAGGGGGGCGACATCTCGAAAGTTTCCAAGGTCTCCTCCCCCCGTCAGACAAGAAGGTGTCCGGCCACGGGTCTTGTTCCGCAAGCGCCGCCCCAACATCACCCACTACGGGACCTCACTGGTTCCTATGGGACCTCACTGGTTCCTACACTCCCCAGCCGACCCAGGACAAACCACCACTTTCCTTTTCGGGATGGCGGGCAGGGGAGTTTCTTGTTAGGGAAAATTTTGACGTGATTTTGCCGCAAAACTCACTCCGCGGTGGGGTCCCCACGGAACTCTTTTCAGAGTTTCCAAATTCTTCCACCGCCTTTTTTGGGCAGACGTCTTTTCCAACGGAATTCCTGTGGGGTCCATGCCTTATTCTGTTTATCTGTTTGCATCTGGGTTCGAACCGAGGTCCGTATTTGAACAATTCATCGGTGTACCAACCGAGCTACGGTAGGGCAGTTGGTGACGCACAGATCGAAGATATGGAAACACCCACGGATCCCAAATTGGCAAGTGGTCCAAATAAAAAACCAAAAACAAATTGGCAAGTGGTTGGGTTTCTTTTTTTTTGGGGGGGTGGTGGTGGTTGGGTTTCTCGGGGCCTGTCTCTTATACACATCTAGATGTGTATAAGAGACAGAGCTACGGTAGGGCAGTTGGTGACGCACAGATCGAAGATATGGAAACACCCACGGATCCCAAATTGGCAAGTGGTCCAAATAAAAAACCAAAAACAAATTGGCAAGTGGTTGGGTTTCTTTTTTTTTGGGGGGGTGGTGGTGGTTGGGTTTCTCGGGGCAGCGCGTCGGTGTTTTCCGTTCTTGGTGGGCGCTGCCCGGGTCCATGTCCCACTTACGCATAGCCTTCATTTCTGACCCTAGACTGCTGAGATCGACGGCCAGGAATGAAGATTTTAGGGAAGTGTTGCTTGGGCGCCGGAATGGAATAGGCAGGCTCGAGGAGAGTCGAGGTGCACGCGAACGGGCGTGCTGGAAGTGCAATCTCTCTCTCTCCCCCCTCCCCTCGCCGTGTCTGCCGTGTTGTGTCTGAAGATGTGGGGAGCTCTATTCAAACTACGGCCGAAAGGAAATAGGTGAATCAAATGTTTTCTCTCTCTCTCTCTCTCTCTCTCTCTCTCTCTCTCTCTCTCTCACACACACACGCACGCACACACACACACGCGCACACACACACACACACGCACACACACACGCACGCACGCAGCAGTGTTGTGCGTGAAGAGGTGGGGTGTTCCGTTCGCACTGGTCCCAAAAACGAAATAGGTGGGTTCGCCGGCGTGCGCGAAGTGCACCTCTCTCTCTCTCTCTCTCTCTCTCTCTCTCTCTCTCCCCCTCCCCCCCTCACTACCTACATCACTCCTTTCCTCCTCGCCCGGCGTGCGCGACTGCACCTCTCTCTCTCTCTCTCTCTCTCTCTCTCTCTCTCTCTCTCTCTCCCCCTCCCTCCCTCTCCCTGCCCCCCTCCGTCCTCCTCCCTACCTACATCTCTCCTTTCCTCCTCCCACTATCCATCCGTCAATCCGTTTAGGGCTGCAATTCCACGTTTTGTGGGGGTGCTATGTTGCAACTGGACAGGATTTGGGCACGGCAGCTATTGGTAGTCATCAATTCTGACGTAGCAGGCAGGAGAAGGTCGCCATCGAGATCTTGAAGGCCTACTCCCATTGGAAGGAGTAGGCGGGGGTCATGTCCTGATGCCTGGTCGGGCAGGCAGGCAGGAGAAGGTCGCCATCGAGATCTTGAGGGGCTGGAGTAGCAGGAGGAGGACGATGCGGGATCAGGAGGATGAGACGGTCGGGATTTGGTCCGTCGGGATGGCATGCACGGTGTTTGCCGGCGTTAAGGAGGTTGTGGGAGGGGGAAGAGAGGTGGAGGAGGGGCCTAAAGTGAATGGGAGGAGGATGTAGGTCGGGGTCCCAATTTGCTAAGAAGGGGATGGTTTGCGCCGATGGGGAGGCGATCAGGATGTGGTAATCCAGAGGAGAAGGTAGGGATGCCAGCCACGGAGGGTCAGGATGTGGGAACCGATGAAGTGCAGGATCTAAGAAGAGATGAACGGCTGGGGAAAGAACACCGAGGCAACAGGGTAGGGAATGCAGGTAGGGGGATCCCGACAAGGTGGGARGGAGGAGAGTGCAAGGCAGGAAGAGGGGGGGCTCAGAGAGGAGGGAGGGGAGTAGGTTGTAAGGAAAGGAGAGAGCAGGGTAATGACGAAGGGCCTGAATCATGAGAGGGATAGGGTAAATTTGGATATGCAGGTGAGAGAGAGAGAGAGAGAGAGAGAGAGAGAGAGAGAGAGAGAGAGAGAGAGACCGACGGAGGGAGGGAGGAAACAGCAGACTAAATCTGCAGAGGCCACATCGAGTATGGGAGTAGCAGGAGCTCGAAGAGAAACAGAGGAGAGAGAGGCGTGGAGAAAGACGGAAATAGTGAGGCGACAGACACAGGGCAAGGAGAGAAGAGGATGTGGAAAAGTGGATTGTTGGGGGGAAGATCGGGAGGGGGGGGATGGAGGGCACACGCTGAAAGGTGGAACCGGACGCGCGGAAGGGAGGCGATGGAGAAGGAAGAAAGGGAAAAAGGCGAGCGGGTAGGGAAAATAAAAGAGAGAGAGAGAGAGAGAGAGAGAGAGAGAGAGAGAGAGAGAGAGAGAGAGAGAGAGAGAGAGAGGAATGGAGAGAGGGGAGAATAGAAAGAGAAGGGGAAGAGTGAGGGAGGAAGAGATGGCCAGAGGGAAACCGTAGAGAGAGATCCCAGTGGGATAGCCCGCCCTTACCCTAAGCCCCGCCCTACATGATTTTAGATGTCAAAAAAAAAAAAAAAAAAAAAAAGATACCAAAGTGTGTTGATTGTGGGATATTATACGTAGTCGTAGTCCTTTTTTTTTTTTTTTTTAGTCCTGTACATCCTGTGAGCGCTTCTCCTCTATCACGTGTGAAACCTTTTTCTTCTGGTTTTGCTCTTCGTGCGCCGTTATGCCGTCGTCTCTTCACGTCTGGAGCACCTTCCTTTACTCTATTGCTATCTTATCTGATTCGTTTTTTTTTTTTTTTTTTTTTTGAAATTTACCAGATGGCTTGGATCCGATGATTAAAAAAAGCCCCTATTGAAATTCCAACATAATCATTATCTTGTTGTTATTATTATTATTTTTTGTCACAAAATTATATTCCAGCCTCGCAAAGCTTCGCTACAAGTTCTTAATCTCCATTCTACTTGTGTTGGCGTCAACAATGCCGCGAAACGTTTCCAGACTGGCTGGTTGCATCGCGCCTCTTTTCGTTCCCCCCCCCCCCCCTTCTCTCTCTCTCTCTCCTCTTTTCGTATTTATCTTAGCGTGTGCCGCCGGCATTGTTGACGTCAACACCAAATGCTCATCAGCTCTGCGTGACCGCATCTGAAATGATTGTAATCAAATCTGCAACCAATCAAATCTGAATGTAGATTGTAATCAAATCTGCAACCAATCAAATCTGCAACCAATCAAATCTGAATGCAGATTGTAATCAATCTGCAACCAATCAAATCTGAATGCAGATTGTAATAAAATCACGATGCTATTGGTAGTCATCGATTCTGCAACCAATCCTCTCAGTCAAGCCCTCTTCCACTCATCAAGATTGTGAATGCGTTGGTTAAGAATCGAATCCGATTCGGTGAAAGGATTGATTGAAATCGGCGTACAACGCGCTGTCATCGGTTTCATCGATGGGTTGATTTTTGCCGCTACGGTTTCTTTGTATTCACAGCCATCATCGAGTATTAGTAATTAGTACTAATTAACATTACTCCACCGACATTCTACACATACATCAGCAGATTTTTATCACATTTCATCATCTCTTCTCGAAACACGTTGTTCCAAACTCTGTTCCAGACAATAGACGTTGTTCAAAATATTCACTCCAGCAGCATGCTTCCTTTCCTATTTCCCTCTCTCACTGCTTCTTTCTCTCTCTCTCTCTCAATGTGCACACACACACACACACAGAGAGAGAGAGAGAGAGAGAGAGAGAGAGAGAGAGAGAGAGAGAGAGAGAGAGAGAGAGAGAGAGAGAGAGAGAGAGGTGATTCTGCTCTCGAGAGTCAGTCTCGGCAGCTGGTCATTTGAACAGAATACCCAATATCGATTTTTTAATGAAAGCATTTTCTTTTCGAAAAAGAAACAAAAGATTCGACCCCTGGCATCAAAAGAAAAAAAGTTCGGTTCAACTTTTCTCCCACACCTCTTCTCTTTCTGTTTCATGCTTGCCGGGTGATAAGCAACCGGATTGTTGCCCCCAAAATAGATGGGGCTCCGTGTGTGTGTGTGTGTGTGTGTGAGAGAGAGAGAGAGAGAGAGAGAGAGAGAGAGAGAGAGAGATGGATCATGAGGTCTGGAGATGGATGCTTATGTAGACCCTGAATATCTCATTGATATTTCCATGCGTGCGCGGGTGTAGTCGCACTGACTTTACTTGTTCATGTGACAATTAGCTGAACACATTCATTGGTCGCAATGTGTTGAATGGACGTGCTTTTATTGTTTTTTTTTTTTTGTGTGTGTGTGTGTGTGTTTTGCCCGGGGAGGTGGGGGGGGAGAAGGGATTGGGAGGGGGATGGGGATTGGGGCGGGGGACGCTCGGTGTATTGTCTGCATTATTTGATTGGATGTGGATTAGACGGGATTGTGGTGGGGGGGGGGAGAAGAGGGCCGGGGGTTGTTCGGTGTATTGGTATTGTCTGCATTGTTTGATTGGATGTGGATTAGACGGAGGTCCTCCTATCCCAGTCGTCGGGGATAAAATGCAGCATGTCCGAGCAAGATCATGTGGTGGGCTCTTGTCCATGGTGGCAGAGCGGACCTTGATGATGAGGCCCTTAAGCAGAGGATACAGGCACAAGGCAAAGCTGTCTGTGGTCCTTACAACGGTACGCACCTGCTTTCCCGGCTCTGCAGAGGGAGTACAAGCCCCATGAGCCTTTTTAGCCCGGCTGAATAAACCCCCGGTAGGAGGAGACAGTTCAGTTAGCATGCATGCCTGGTCTTTTTGTGTGTGTGTTGGGGGGTGGAGGAGGAGGGGAAGGGGGGAGTTCGAGATTAGGTGGGCAGCAGGCAGGACGGGGTAAATCGAGAAGGCCTGGGTAAACTGGGAACGCCCGAAAGGGGGGCCGGAGGGGAGGAAGGGGAGGTGGGGAAGAAAGTGAAAAGAAAAAGGTCCTGACCGCAGGAGGAGGCCAGATCTGCAATTGCCCTGAGCAGTCTGAATTTCGGACTTATCTTTGAATTGAATCGTAATAATTGTTAAAAGGGGTTTAGAAGGGTTTAGAACTTTAGAGGGGGGGGGGGCTTGGGCGCGGGGAGGCAGGGGGAAGAAAGTGAAACGAAAAAAGCTCTTGATCTCAGGAGGTCTGATCTGCTGCACTTTCCATGAGCAGTCTGAATCCGGACTTACCTTTGAATTAATTTATACTGTTAATAATGGTTAAAAGGGGTTTATATTTTAGAGGGGTGTGCTTTTTTTTTTTTTTTTGGAGTCTTGTTTCTTAATGTCGTAAGGACTTCCGAAGTGACCCAGTCCTTTTTTTTTTT